TACAAAATTGGACTTCTTCCTAACGGGGATGCAAAACGAGCCACAAAAAGCCAAATTGTGAGTGTGCACCAGTTTCCTTTCCATATGGAAATGAAGAGACAACCTCAGGTTATTTGCTGGGGAGTAACATTTGAATTTCCATGGAAGAGGCTTTAAAAATGCAGAGAACTAGATGCAAACACCTGCCTGACCCTGCTGAGGTTTCTTCAGGCGTTACACAAGTAGCTTCAGTATGGATTTACCTATCGCTTTTGTGAAATTATCATATCTAGAAAATGAGGTTCTTCTAAAATTACTGATTTCAAGAGATAGTTTTGAATAGAAAATCAGGCGGGTCCATTCCTCAGCAGAGTGATTTCCAGGGGCACTTGGTGTGGCACTGAGCAGATTCTTCTGTTCTTCATCTCCTTTTTCTGCATTCGCTGACACAGAACCAGCAAGAGTAACTTATTTAAAAACAAGTTATTTCATTTGCTTTCACAGCTTGAGAAATCATGAGCTTTGTTCTGTTTGACATCACCTCAACTTTAAGGTTTATTTGGAGGCCCAGAGTCCTTTTGGTGGAACTTTGTAACTGAAGTCCCATCTTAAACACACACATTATATATATATATATATATACACATATATATATGAACATTTTGCTTCCAACAGCTGTAAAGGAGCCTTTTATACCACAAACTCCTCCCATCAGCAGCCACAAAAATATGAATTGTGGTTTTTAACATTACAGTACCCACAGTAGGAGTTCAGTAACAGCGACACTGTCAGACTGAAGCCACACAGATACAACTCCATCAGTGCTCTTTGTTACCTCCCCGTTGCAAATGCAAAGAAATCACTTTATTTCTGTGCCAGAACTATTTCAAGCTAAGGAAAAAGCCTGTATGCACAAGTGTCACAGTCATCCTGTACTAGAATACCCATTTCAAGTGGTTTTTATCTTCATCTCCACTAATATTGGGCATTTTAAACCCACCTTTTTTAACACCACCGTTTCTTCCCAGTTTGACTGCACGCCCTGAGTGACAACTAAATATCTTGTGGAAAATCTGGATGTCTCTGGGATATCACTGGGAGAGAATTAGCCACATGTAGCACAAAGAAGGCAGTAATTAAAGCCATTTAATAAAACATGCTTACAGGTGGAAGGGCCGCAGATACATCTGAGATTGGAGTCAGAACAATGAGCTACTTATGATTTTAAATAGAAAAGCTGCCCAGGTAACCCAATCCCACTTTGCAGGCCTAAAATCACAGGTTAACAGGAGTGTTTGTCACCTCCCTCATTCAGGAAGCGTTTGCCACAACACCTGTGGCATGAATATTTATCAGCCAAGTGGGACTATTAAAATTGGTGAGTCAGAAATAAATTGATCAAGATTATAGAGTGAGTCACTGCAGAGCCAGAAATAGCATTCACAAGGCCTGACTTTCAGCCCTGTGCTCCAACCACTCCACGGGTTCCTTGAGGCATTTAAACGATGTAATTAATGTTTGTAAAGTAATTTGAATCCTTGGATGGAAAACGCTGTGACAATGGCAGGGTTGGAGGGACAGAAAACCACACGTTAACAGAGGAGAAACGATGGCCAAAAATTCCTGGGAAAGGCTTTTTGGACTGAAGTGCAAGAAAAAGGGTGTTCTTCCAGAAAAAGAAAAAGAAAAAGCCTTTAAGTTGATGATTGAGATCAAACAAGTATTAAGGCAGTTTATTTACCTGAGCCAAGCTAATCCCACTGTTTTATCCCACAGTTCCAGGGTGTTCTATACATTTGAAGCAACTTAAGTAAAGAAGAGAAGCCGTGGCTGCCCCATCCCTGGGAGTGTCCAAGGCCAGGCTGGAGCAATCTGGGCTGGTGGAAGGTTTCCCTGCCCATGGCAGGGGTGGCACTGGATAATCCTCAAAGTCCCTTCCAAGCCAAACCATTATAAAGTCTTAATCACGCCATTATTACTTTTATTTTCTTAATTCAGCACTCCTAAATGCCAACCTGTTGCAGCCCAGCAGCACGAGGGCTCCTCGCCCTGCACACCTCGGCTGGATTCTTCCTGCTGGGATAAATGCTGGAAAAGCTTTCCTTGGATTTGGTATTTTACCGAATTTGATGTTTTATGCCAGTGTCGATTCCGGAGGTGACTTCAAGGCACAGCGGCCACACCTCACCGCGAGCACTCGCGTTTTTTTTTTGAAGCCTCCACCTCTTTTTGGTAACGTTTTGCCTCCTAGTGGAGATTCCCCGGCACAGAAAACCATCGGGAAAAAAAACCCCAAGCCGGTGCTGTTTTTTTCCTGCTTGCAAAGGAAAATCATCTCAATGATTTAAATGCAAGGATAAAATTCATTTCGTGGAGAAACGGGATTCAGGGTTTTTATTCTCTCAGCTGTCTCCCAGCAGAATCAAACACTGTTTTTATTCCAGCCACGGCTCGTTTTTACAAACCCGAACCTTTCCACAGCAGGTTAAATAAGATGTTTGCTAAGGGCAAACACAGACAAACAGCTCCAGACACTCCGAATCATCACACGGCAGCCTCTTTCCCACCTCGATCCAGTACAGCAGCCCTTCCCTTCCCAGTTCCACGGGAAAGGGCAAAACAGGCCCCTTTTCTTCAATAAAAGCAGTGTTTGATGCGAGTCGGGAGGTTTTCCACCTCCACAGCCCGAGGGGAAGAGCTGAAGAGCAGCACACAGGAAATCACTTCCCAGCTCTGTTGTACCCAAAACCGAGAGGACAATGAAAAATCCTAGAAAAACGTTGGCATTCCATCCTCCTGGAGCCCTTCTCCAAGGGGGGGAAAACCACAGGTTCCTGCTCGACAGCATTACCTGGCCTTGTTCCCATCAGGCTGGTAATAAAAGAACAGGGATTTCACTAATAAGTGCTGCAGTCCTGCCTCAGCAGAGCAGTAGGAAAGCAGGTGCTGCTGCATATCCAGTGTTTTCCAGGCTCTTCCCAGCAGGGAAGTGACAAATAGAGCCCAGGGCAGTGACCCAGCACCTCCTGCCTGGGGCAAGAACAGGGGGCACAGGGAAGGGACCAGGCCTGTCCAAAACACCTGTCCTGGAGAAAAGGAGAGGGGCAGGGAAGGGGATAAAAAGCATCCTGACAAAGTGTGTTCTCTGCAGACTTTTATTAATAAAATAGACGATTTACAGCAGGTATCAGTGGACAGTGTGCTTCGAGAAGCCTCGAGCTGGATATTGTGACAGCACAGGCAGGAGCTGGGGTTGGGGAGGAGAAACCAAACCTCTGATGACACATTACCAACAACCCCAAAACCCTGTCCCCAGCTAAGCCTTATACCATCCCAGCAGGCCCAGCTGAGGTCCCAGAGGAGGACTGGACTGGAGTATTGCTCTAGGTGAAGCCACCTGGTCACTCTGTACCACCTTCACGTCCCCAGGGCCTCTGGATCTGTGCTAAGAACCACCTCAGTGCATCCCTTAGGACATGGCCAGCTCAGGAGCAGCTGCCTCAGTGCCACGACCCTCATCTTCCCAAACCAGCATCCTTAAAGCCACACCCTTCACAAAACAGGGGAATTTTGCCAGCTCTGATGCAAAAACATCCCATCAGCTCTTCACCCTCCCGCTAAGGTAAGGAATAAACCTTGGCCCTGAGCCTGTAAACACCTGTACACATGATTAATGTTACTCAACAGATTGTTTCCTTAACCATTAGTAAGTCTGGTTGGAGTAAAATTAGTCACGTGCAGCAGGGCCCATGAGTTTATTCACCCTCTGGAAAAACAGCTGCTGTCCCTGGGGCGGTTCAGTTGTTTGTACAAGGCTAACAGGTGAGAAAAAAGGTCAAACCCTTACAAAGGCTCATGGTCAGGCATGCATGGTACAAGACAAATACTGTATTGAAGAGAACCAGATTAATAAATACTAGAATTTTTACATTTTCAAACCACTGCACAAGGACTTCAGAGAAATTAAAAAGAGTGATTGCAAGAGTAGTCTTGTTAACAACCTCTAACCCAGCCAGAATTTTACAGCAGAAACAGTATCTCAGCTGACCAAATCATAAAGGCATTTTAATAACTACCTCTAACTAAGCCACAGAAATAACTCAATATAGGCAGCTGAAAAGTGAAAATTCTCCCAGTCAAGGTAAGTTCACTAGGACTTTAAACTTCACTGAATATTTCCAGGAGGGAGGAGTAAAACCTAAAAGCACAATTCGCAAAAATACCTGGAGGTAAAAACTCATGAGCCTCATAAAGCATCAGTATGTAGTTCATCTTTGGATAAGCCTGATGTGCTGAGGAGTTTGGATCTCTCACACCACTACAAACACTGATTTCATGCAGCTTCTGCATCCACACCTCGGGATCGTTGCACCAGCGAACATTTCTGGGGGGGCAGGAAGTTGGCAAAGCCAAGAAGCGACACTTGCATGGTTAAAACTACATTTCCACTGGGTTCTAGCAATAAAACACAGCCAGTGGAGCAGCAGAAGGCAGGGCAGTCATTCCCTGTGTGGGAACCACGGGGTGCTGGTGCCACACAACATCCCACACAACTGCCCCACACGAGCTCTGCCAACTTCTCACAAAGCCACGGGGGACTTGGGGCTCCAAACAAGGCATTCAAGGTATTTTGTCCTAAAAACAAGGCATCAAAGAAAACCAGGAGGAAACCAAACATTAAGACATCAGTCCCGTAACACGATGGATTTTAAAACCTGAAGGTTCTGTTCCCGTTGTGATTTAAGCAACAGTTTAAAAAAAGAGCCTTCAAGGGCCACTGGAGCAGGAGGTGGTGGTGCTGGGATGGAGGTGCTCACACACGGGCTGGTGTCCTGGTCACTCAGGAGTGAATGCAGGTACCTGTGAAATCCCTCCCTCTCTTCGTTCCCAGGAAAAATAATTAATACTGGTTAAAATCATTACAAAAAACATCATTTTATTTTCATGCATCTAAGGTAAAACACAGAGTATTTGTATAAAGAGGTAGATTAAAAAAAAAAAAAAAAAGAAAACAGATTCTCCATTCTTTGTCACTTTTATTCAGTAGTTTTGTTTTTTTTTTTCCTTATTTTCTCTTTTTTTTTTTTGGTGCCAGACATGGCAAGGAGTGATTACAGTCAACTGTTTATTAAAACATTTGTTGCAACACAGACCCCCTTTACCACTGACCCCAAACGGACCCATTTTATGTGCTTTATTTTGTTTTTTTTTTCTATACACCACCACCAAGGCGAGGTGGAGGGGGACGAGGGGGAAGGGGGGAGTCCAGGAGGCCAGAAGGAGGAGGAATGCTACAAGCCACAGCAAGAATGAGCTGTATTTAATAAAAAAAGGGGGCCACGAATGATACAGTAATGAGGTTACACAATTAAATCCCATAGCATGATTGAAGGCTTTCCCTGTGTCTGACGTCACCACAATGGAAGGCATAAAAAGTGGAGTAAACCGATGTTGATACAGTCCAGTCTAGTCCATTAGGCAAGATGGTGCAAGTAGTCATTTAAATTAAAAAGTGCCCTATCCTCACCTAAATGGCTAGCAGGCATGGAGACAACAGAGCCACAGAGCCTTCTCCATGGAGCTATAAAAGTGTGTTGTCATATGGCACGTTTTTAAACACTGGAAAGGGGTGCCATAATGGACCTCACTCGCTTTTCCTTACAGGTACAAATGCTAGAATTCAACTATTTCAACTATGCAGGAAGTGACTCTTCGCTTAGGAATGCCAACCCTAATTCAGCTTGTCTTGAAATATATACAAGTTGTTAGTGGTGGCCACGGCGATGATGTTCTCCTTGGGGTGCCAGGCCGTGTGCAGGATCTTCTTGTTGAAGTCCAAGCTGTCGACGCTGATCTCGTCCTTCTTCCTCTTGCCGCTGGCGCAGACCTTGCGCGGCTTCAGCACCGTGCGGGGCTTGTTGTTCTCCCGGGAGGCCTCCAGGGTGACGTCCCGCTTCGTGTTCCGGTCGAACATCCGGAAGAAGTTGTTGTAGGAGCCTGTCATGACAATGCTGCACGGGGAGGGAGCAAGAAGGGAAGAGTCAGGGGCAATTCCTGCTTTTGGAGAGCCTGAGTGGCCCTGCTCGGGTCACACCTTGGGATACAAGGGCAGAGGAGGCACAGCCCCTCCCACACCTGCTCCAGCCACAGGGAATGTTTAAGAGATCATTTAATAGATATATTTTATATTTATTTCATATATTATTTTATTATTCTACATACATATTATTCTACATAGTATAAATTTATTAAAATTATATATAACTCTATAATTACCTTACATTATATATGTATATATTGTTTTTATTATATATTACACTATATATTATACTATATATTATATAATTATAATAATTATTTTATATATTTTATGTATAGAAATTCCTGCTTTTATCAAACCTGAGGATCCCCATTCAGATCACACCTTGGGACACATGTGGAAAGGAGGCACAGCCCCTCCCACACCTGCTCCAGCCACAGGGAATGTTTAATATATAATTTATTATATAGATTTGATACTTTATATTGATTT